GGGAAGCCTTCTTCTCCCTCTCCCACTCCCCCTGCTTATGTTCCCTCTCTCGCTGTGTCTCTCTTTGTCAAATAAATAAATAAATAAAAATCTTTAAAAAAAAAAATAGAGAAAACTTTTCATTGGTGGAATGAGTAAAGCTCAGATATTTGGATTAGCTAGATATATAATTCTTGCATGAGTTAGATATATTTTTAAATGGCTGGAAAAACATCAAAAGGATAATAATATTTCACAATATGTGAAAATTATATGAAATTCAGATTTCAGTGTCCATAAAGTTTTATTGGGACACAGTTATGCTCATTCGTTTTCCTGTGTCTGTGTTCATTCTTCGGTGACAGAATTGACTATTTGCACCAGAGATCACATGGACGTAAAAACTAAAATACCTTTAGCCTTTTACAGAAAATGGTTGGCTGACCCCTGGCCTATACTTTTCAGAATAATGCCTGAGGCCCAGGGTGTCTCCTGGTCTGGAATTCAGCCCCTTAAAGAGGATCCAGTCACCTGAATTGAACTGGAAGGCTCACTCAGCCCCAACCAGAGCGGTGGTTCTCATTCCTGGCTGCACATCGGTATTACCAGGGGCGCTTTTAAAAAGTTCCCACATGTCTGGTCCGACCCAGATCATTTAAATGAGAATTGCTGGAATCGGGGTATAGGGAAGTGAATTTTTGAAAAGCTCACTAGATGTTTCTGAAGTGCAGCCAAAGTTGAGAGCCATGTGCTGGAAAATGGAGTGACTCCAAGAAAGGTGTTTGTGGCCGTGCCTTAAACTGCAGTGCTTTTCAAACTTTATATATAAGTCAGCTGAGGATCTTGTTAAAAGACAGGTTCCATTTCAGTAGAGCTGGGGTGAAACCTGTGATGGGGTCCAAGGCAGGCCCCCCCAAATATGCCACTCTGCAATATTAATTATTTGGGTTATTTTGAATCAAAGTTACTTAAGAAGCAGCAGTGCAAGAAGGACACTCTGAGCCTCCTTTGTCCTCCTGCAAGCAGGAAATAAATCTCCCCTGTGAAAGATACCCTCCCGAATCAGGAGGTGAAGAGACATCCTTATCACCAGAGATAGGGAATTCAGCACTGAGAGGCTTAGTATAAACACTCGTTTCTTCTTCACCAGTTTACTAGCCCAAGCCCAGATTTGTCTTGTCAGTTCCTCACAATTTTCTTGTTTCTTTGAAAGGTATAGAAGTTCTGCTTTGGTCACTTCCTTTGAGTCTCATATTTTTGTTAGCTCTCCTATGAAATTAAATTTGGCTTTCTCCTGTTACTCTGTCTTACGTCAATTTAATTATTAACCAGCCAAAGAACCTATAAAGGAAGAAGGAAAAGTTTTCCTCCCTTATACCTAAGATCCCATATTTCAAAAAACTTGCAGATATTGCAGATGCTGCTGGTCCGTGACTAGCAGGGTGAGGGCAAGGACTTCACTGAACCTGTAGAACATATTCCATGACTTGTATTTTTGCCTGCTTAGTAATGAGTAGTTGCTCGAAAGAGTTCTACTTCAGATACGGTAGTCAGCTAAGGCCTCTGAGGACATGACGTGCTAGTTGAGTTGCTGAAGGGTGCAAAGGGGTCAGATCTGAGAAGAATGGGGAAAGAACTTCCCAGGCAGAGAGGAGCTGATGTGATGGCCCTACGGCAAGAAGGACTCACTTTTGAATGGCCTGTGTGACTACAGGGTGACAGAGATTGATGCTGTTTGTTTCGTTAATAGGAAAGATAATGTTTAAAAAGGAGATGCCTCCGGGCGCCTGGGTGGCTCAGATGGTTAAGTGTCTGCCTTCGGCTCAGGTCATGATCCCAGGGTCCCGGGATCGAGTCCCGCATCAGGCTCCCTGCTCCTTGGGAGCCTGCTTCTCCCTCTGCCTCTCTCTCTCTCTCTCTGTCATGAATAAATAAATAAAATCTTTAAAAAAATAAATAATTTTCAAAAAAAAAAAAAGGAGATGCCTCCATTGATCCTTGCTGGGTATATCACCTTGAAATCAGTTCTCAGAAAATCAGAGGAATTCAGTCACCCTGAGAAGGAAAGCAATTCACAGGAAGATGAAAAGGAGTGTTAGCTGGGCCATACCGAAATAATGGGACACAGAGAGGACTTGTAACAGACTTTGCTATGTTCCTCCCTATTCCACACCTAGTTCATATTGCCCTGTAGTTATTGATGGTGATAGCTCTCTTCCTGGAGCAGGTCCTCAATCTAAATTCTTTCAGGCAGTTAGGGGGAAGGTCAAAGTTTCTTCCTTAGTCTTTGAGGTCTTGCTGGTGTTCAGCTCAAGAGTCATCTACGTGCCAAAATGGCTGCCTACAGCAGCAATGGTGAGCCATGCCGAAGTCTTTTCTGGAGTACCAGGGGTGCCACAGGGGGCCTTCCTGCAGGAGCATTACTGGTCTTCACTTGGAAACTCACCTGCAGACAGCCATACAGGGATCCAGAGCAGAAAAGGAGGAAAATGCTGGTCCCCACATGTTTATGAGGGAACACGTGCATCAACAGATATGAAACATTACTGCGAGGGGGTAGAGGAGGTGGCTGGACTCCTCGTGATTTCAGGTAGTCATGAGGGAGCAGAAGGCTAGCTGAAGACAGAGCAGAAGCTCACACCCTGCAACCTCCCCCCACCCGCACCCCCCACTCCTGGGTGGGACATGTGTGACATTCTTCCAGGGATCTCCCAACTATCTTAATGTTAATACTTTGCTAGAGGGGAAAACAACCTTAACATGACAATGGCAAGACCTCTGGTATCTTGTAGGTATCTTGTAGCTCTGTCCTCTTTAGCATGTGAAAGTTCTTTTGAAACCTCCCTTTTCCTTACTTCCCGCAACTCCCGAGTATATAATCACCGCTCCTCAAGACCCCGGTGCAGCGCTCTTTCTGCCCACAGGTCCTGTCCCTGTGCTTTAATAAAACCACCTTTTTGCACCAAAGACGTCTCAAGAATTCTAGGTCATCGACTCCGGACCCCACCCCACTGAACCTCACCTATATTCCAAAACCCCATCTGTAGGGTCAGAGTCCGAAATATATACAGTTTGGGGGGCTGCCGAAGGATGTATAGAGGAAGAGGATGCGGAAACACCTATTAGGAAAAAGGGCTGGGGGAGGGAAGGTTTCCAGGAGAAGGTGGTATTTAAACTAAAGCGAGCCAAGTGAAGGGAGGATAACAGAATAAGGCAGAGAACCACAAATAGTTCCTTAAAACCTGGAGGAGAAGGTAGGAGGGGATTACAGAGAAATGAGGTTAGAAGAATTGTTAATTATATAGTACATAACTGGACATTCACTGTGTGTTTATTCCCCAGGATTCATATTAGAGTGAACCCAAGGAATGATGTTGTATCTGATGGTCTTTATTTGAGTTGCTCGGTGTTGGGAGATAATTCTCCACAGAGCTCTCACATTTCTGCATGTCTTGGGAGCAGAGGCACCAACAGCTTTTGTTCCAGACTACCTCTTCAAGGATGTTTGTAGCCAAGGACCTTGGATGGCAGAAATAATGTCTCACTGGAACAGAGGGAAGGTTTATTTACCATCCAGTATAATACAGTTTGGGTTTCTTAAGCTCAGGGGTCCTCAGGTGTGAGGCAAAACCTCTGTGTATGTGGCATCTATCTGGACAGCTCCATATTGCCATGGAGGGCAAGGGGGACCCACCTAAACATGAGGCTTGTGCTACTTGCTGTGCTTGGAGTAATAAAGTCCTTTGCCTCAGAGCTAGGAGTCTTCTGCCTTCTGTCAAAGCTCATGAAGCTGTGGTAGGCTAACCTTCAAAGCTCTTGACACTAGGTGTTTGCCTTCTTGAGAAGCAAAAAATTAGTTTTGGGTCTGGCTTTTTTTTTTTTTTTTTTTTTTTAACATCTAGAGTTAATGAATCTTATCCGTATTGGGCACTTGTGAAGTCCCGGCTGAGGTAGGATTTTAGGCCAGTTGAATAATCCATATCCCTTCTAATACAAAAATACTCCGGTTTATGAATCTGAGCTTTCTGTGGAAGCAAAAGGCAACTAAATACAAGGTGAATATTTCACTGATGTAACGACAAGTGCCAAGAAGCCAGGCAGTGCTTGGCTTACCAAATGGAATAGGCTATGACCTCAGGCTACAACATGGAACACACACCAGCTTAAAATCAAAAAATAGTCTGCTATCCAGGAAACAATGACACGGAGGTGATGGTAGCCAAATTGGGTTTGGCCACAAGATGATTCTGGCAATGCCCACTTTGGAGCTGGGTAATGAAATAGAACAGAAGTCTCTGTAGGCACCTTATATTACCTTCTCAAGTATGTACTTCTTCAAATTATCAAAATCGCAGCTTTAACAGAGTAAGTTAATGCAATTACACCATAGAAGCAAGTGTTAGCTTTGAGAAACTTGAGTCTTCAACTTGACTAGTGGGATTGGTCAACACATCTACTAATTTCAAAAACAAGCTATTTAAACATTCTAGGTTAGGGGCACCTGGCTGGCTCAGTTGGAAGAGCATGCGACTCTTGGTCTTGTGGTTGTGGGTTCGAGCCCCGTGTTGGGTGTAGAGATTACTTAAATAAATAAATAAACTTAAAAAAAAATAATAAAACATTTTAGCTTACAAAAGAGAAGATCACTGTAAAGTGAACTTTTTGGTCATTCATCTTTGAAACTATCTTTAATCACTCAAAACCTCTCCAGAACATCCAAGTCTAAATAATGGTTTGGAATGAATAAGATATGTTTTATGTGACAATAAAATGTTTTCTTGGTGATCCAGTGAATAATTTTTTTTCTTCTTTTATAATTAATATTTGTAAATAAGATAGACATTGAGGAAGGATCAAAGAGATTATATTTCTTTGTGTCTCTGGAGATGCACTTTATCCAAATATGGCATTATCTGAAAAATAAAAAGAAGTAGTTGTTAGATAACGTATAATACATTTCGTAGTTCCAGAATAACCCTGAAGGCAGAGAGGATGAGTACTGCTTCACAGATACAGAAAGGAAGGCTTAGAAACATTAAATGACTAAGCGCATGACATTAGTCAATGGCAGAAGCAGAACTTGAACCCAAGTGCAATGGACCGAATGTTTATGCCCCCCCATCACCCCAAATTCTTATGTTGAAACCCTAATGACAGTGTGATGGTGTCAAGAGCTGGGGCTTTTGGGAGATAATTAAGTCATGAGGGTGGAGTCCTCATAAATGGGATTAGTGCCCTTAGAAGAAGAGGCCAGAGAGCTAGCTAGCTCTTTCTGCCGTGTGACGACACAGCAAGAAAACAGCCCTCTCTAAGCCAGGAAGAGGGCATTCGTCAAGAACCCGACCATTTTGGCACCCCAATCTCAGAATTCCGGCCTCCAGAACTGTGAGAAATAAATGTTGTTTAAGCCACCCCATCTGTTGTAAACTAACAGCCTGAACTAAGATACCTGCATCTTCTGTTTTTAAGGCTAGTATGCCCCTCTTTGGGCCTCCACATCTCCAAGTGGAAGACTGAGAAGAGAGCTTGGAGATCTCCAGCTAAGAAAACCTGTTCCCTGGTCTTCATATCCCTATTGGTAGAAGCAAAGAGGAGTCCCCAGAACCCGAAGCACTCTTAGCAAAGTCCCAACCATTCTCAGCTTTAACACTCATGGCCTCACCACTACTTGAGACCATTAAGACTAATCTCATTCTGTTCTTTTTTTTTTAAAGATTTTATTTATTTATTTGACAGACAGAGACACAGCGAGAGAGGGAACACAAGCAGGGGGAGTGGGAGAGGGAGCAGGGAGCCCGATGCGGGGCTCCATCCCAGGACCCTGGGACCATGACCTGCACCGAAGGCAGACGCTTAATGATTGAGCCACCCAGGCGCCCCCTCATTTTGTTCTTTATCCCTGTTTACTTGGGCTACCTCAAGAAGCCAGGAGTTCTGAGAGAGAGAGACAAACCAAGAAACAGACTCAACTATAGAGTCATACGATATGGCTACCAGTGGTGGGGGGATGGTTCAAATAGGTGATGGGGATTAAAGAGTATAGTTATCATGATGAAAAAAATAATAAGATAAAAATAATGGGGAAAAAAGGAAGCCAGGAGTTCTGGGTTGCCCCACATCTCCTGATGCTAACCACATAGCTCTATGAGCAGCAGTGCAAACCCTACCCGGCACTTCCTCTTCACTCCCATCCTGCTGCTTTATGTTCCTCCATATCACTTACCCACTTAAAAATTCCCTGCCTCTATCCACTCAAGTACCCACTGAAATCTAAGTTTTATGAGGCAGGGGTCTTATCTATCACTGTACTGCCAAGCAGAGAACAGTGCCATAAAAATTTGCTGAATGAATGTGCTTCTTCCTCTAACATAGGTATGTATGAAGGAAAAGAGCGTTTTCTAATTCTTACTGCATATATCCAGCAAAATGTACCTTCTTATTATCCTCTTCTATTTCTAAAGATTATTCTGCAACAACAAATGTGCCATGGGAAACTCTAGGTTTGTGAGCCATCGCCCAAGGGCACAGCTACTGGTCTCGAGAGGAATGAGGTAAGATTTACCATCACTTCTAGAAAAATACATTCTATGTCCCAGTATTTATTCAGTCACCAAATGAATATTTTCTGAGTGCCTAATTAATGCCAGACACCATTCTAGGAATGGAATGGATAAAGCAGTGAAAAAACAGACACCATCAAGGAGCGTTAGGGAGTGACAAACACTGTAGCCCGGTATTGTGTTACAGGATGGGTGTCTCCAACTCAGGAGAAAGGTCAGGGCCAGAAATAGAAATGTGCAGGATAGAGATGAGATTTTCAAGTTCTCTAACAGTTGAAGACCAGCAATCTGTCTCATTGAGATCACCTGAAAACTAAGTGTAGATGATGAGAAGTGGGCCATCTTACAGAAAGAGGATGTGATTTTACAGTTAATGATGTTTATCATTCAACTCAATACATATTTGTTGATGGTTTACTAGAGTAATATGTTCATCAAATTTTATAAGTAATGTCCCATCTCCTTATTTTTACAAATGAGGATTTTTTTTTCTGGCCTTCTCGGGGAGGAGGTATTCTCTCATATCTGTTCTCAGTCTAGTGTGGTGGGGCTGAACTTTTGGTTTGGAATGTGGTAAGTTCTCTTTTGGGCTGAGTTTAACTTTCACTGATTTTAAGCCAATTTCCCAGTATAGATAGTTTTCCAGTGACAAAGTGACAAAGCCAATTTTTACCTCCATCCGTCTCTCAATTGATACAAACTGAGGAATAGAAGGATATTATTGTTTTTTCAAGCCTCTACAGTATTCAGAATAAAGTAGACACTCAAAAAAATGTCAGCACCCTTCTCTATACCCACATACTTCCTACTTGTGGGGAAAAAAAAAAAAAAAAACCCAATATCTCTTATTTATCTAAAGTTGAAACCAGAGACCTTAAGTTTCAAGTAGAGATTAATGGGGAAACAATTCTAATGAGCTTTTGAGAATACACAGTACTGGGTCAATAATTACCTACCATTTGTTCAAACAGGTGGTTCTCAAGCTTTTTGGTCTCAAGATCCATTATATTCTTAAAAATTATTAAAAACCCTATCAAAGTTTTGTTCATGTGTGTTGTACCTCTCAATATTTACCACATTAGAAATTTAAATGGAGAAAAAATTTAAAGCTCAAGAATACAAGTCAACATTCCATTTAATGGTCAGAAAAATGATGTGACTGCATATCATACTGCTTCTGGAAAACTCTGTTGTACTCCCATGAGAATATAAAAGGTAAGTAATATCTCAGCATTATTATGAAAATAGCTTTGACCCTGTGGGTCCCTGAAAAGACCTGAATACACAGGGGTTCCCCAGACCACCCTTTCAGAACTACTAATTTAGACTAAAAAAGAAAAAGCATGTATTTACATGCCAATTACCATAACCTTTAAATTAGGTCTATGCTGTGCGTCTGGGTGGCTCAGTTGGTTAAGCAACTGCCTTCAGCTCAGGTCATGATCCTGGAGTCCTGGGATCGGGTCCCACGTTGGGCTCCCTGCTCAGCAGGGAGTCTGCTTCTCCCTCTGCCCCTCCTCCCTCTCACGCTCTCTCTCATTCTCTCTCTCAAATAAATAAATAAAAATCTTAAAAAAAAAAATTAGGTCTATGCTTATTCTGTATCTCGTCATCATAAAATTGAATTTCTGTTTGAGTCTGCTTACTTAAAAGAAACAAAGAGCTTTTTTGCAATATTTAAAGGTTTGTTTCAACGTTCCAGAATTGTTGGTTTATAACCTCAATATCATTAATGTTGGCTATGGAAATTATGTTTGTTAGACTCTGTTTTGTAGAAAACCATGTGTATTCACGTAAAGTGGTAAACTATGTTTGTCATAGAAGGTGGATATTACCAACCACCATTAAACTTGTGAGAATTAACCTACTAGTTGTGGCTTACCTCATCTAGTTCCAAGTAATTCAAGCAGAATAAAAGATTGTGCAGATCCACTTAGAACACTAGATGCACTCCTCCTTGTAAAGAGTTATTTTTTGAGTAAAATAAACACATGGCTGTTACAGATTAACTTTGAAGCACAATGGAGAATCTCAGTTTCCCATGACACACTGTATCACCTCTCTATCCCACTTACTAAGAGCTTGGGGCAAATGAAAAGTCACAACTCCTTCATCAAGTTAATCTTGTTGAAGTTAAATCTCTAAAATAGTGATTCTTGGGGTGCCTGGGTGGCTCAGTCGTTAAGTGTCTACCTTCAGCTCAGGTCATGATCCCAGAGTCCTGGGATCGAGCCCCACATCGGGCTCCCTGCTGAGCGGGGAGCCCGCTTCTCCCTCTCCCTCGCTCCCCCTGCTTGTGTTCCTGCTCTCGCTATCTCTCTCTCTGTCAAATAAATGAATAAAATCTTTAAAAATAAATAAAATAAAATAAAATAGTGATTCTTTTGTTTCTGATCTAACTTAATCATGTGTTGTTTGTATTTAATACAATTGCACTCTTTTTTCTTTTTACATAAATGACAAAATGCCATCGGTTGCTTATCTTGACTTAGGAACAAGTGTTCCCAATCAATAGTAGTTACCCTTTCTCTTCCTCCTCCTGCAAAATAATATCACTACCACCACAAACCCCCATGCCAACCTCCTTCCACACTTTATTATTGTGACTCAGGGCTTCTTGTTTGATATTTGTCATCAAAATAATTTCTATTGTATCTCAATTTTGCATGTGAAATTTTTGCATAGGCAACAGAAATTGGTGAGAGGAGGTCTCTGGAGTTTTTGTGGTCTCTTATAATTAGCTACAACGGCTTTTCTCTAAATATGGTTCTCAGGCCATCAGCATCAGCATCTCCTTAGCCTGCTGAAAAATGCAGATTCTGGGGACCAAAGGAGAGCCTACTGAATGAGTCCGTCTGGAGGTGGAGTTTGGGATTCTCTAAGCACAAGAAACTGAGAATCTCTGATCTCTAGTAGACCTTATATCAAAGAACCTTGTTTACTGATGCTTTTTACTTCAGACAGATTTCCTTTAAACTATCCCAGAGAGATACTTCCTGAAACTCTCTCAACCCCAGAAACTCTCCCCAAGTTTACTTATAAATCCCTCCTGTCAATTGGGTGGGAATCCTACCACAACAACTTACTTTTTGCAGGAAAGTGCTTTTTCTCCGTGTGAGCAAGGAGACTCAGTGTGAGCCAGGAGCTCCTGCCACTGTCAGGAACATATTCTTTGATTTGGGTGTGAGTTGAGGGCATATAGGCACCACTGAAATGCCTCTTTTGAACTCTCAGTAAACTGACTTGATTGCTTCTTTCCACAAGGCAGTTGGATTCACGCTTTTCATTTATCTCCTTCAGGAGACATTGTTCGCTTTCTTTGAGCTTTGTAATTATTTCACTGGTTCGGTTCGTAGAAGTCATTATGCTGACAAACCAGTCATCAAGTGATTCTTACTGTCCTGCAAACAAATGACAAAATACTATCAGTGGTTGCCTGACCTAGCGGCCAGTCTTCAGTCAGTTCCTCTTTCTCCTCCTGTAAAATACCACTACCGCTGTGCCCCTCACCCCATATCTCACTCCATTTTTATTATTGTTTCCTAAGATCTTTTTGGTTTTTGATGTTTCTTCAGGAAAAAAAAAATCATAAGAAGAGGATTTTACATTGAGCACTACATCAAAAACTAATGATGTACTATATGTTGGCTAATTGAATTTAAGTAAATAAAAGAAGAAGAAAAAAGAGGATTTTAGTAAGAGAATATATTTTGTTTTTGAAACTAACGCTATGTATTGATTCTTGCTTTAAGGGACAATGAGAGTCCCTTAAAGCGTATTGTAATATGACTAATACATATTCATTGTAGAAAATTAAGAAAATGCATAAAAGCATAAGGTAGACAAGCTAAAATCACTCTTTTTTTTTTTTTTAAAGATTTTATTTATTTATTTGACAGAGACACAGCGAGAGAGGGAACACAAGCAGGGGGAGTGGGAGAGGGAGAAGCAG